CTATTAGAAGTTCTGCCTCTGAGAGGGTTTCTTTTCATCTCATCACTCTCTTTTGAAAATACTCCTGATTGAGGCTATAATGCTGCAGCTGTCCACTTCCAGTTAGTGCCAAGAATCTGACTAGTCAGATTTATGGTTTATGAAGATCACTTTGGCACAGTGAAGGATGGATTGGGGGAGGCTGTTTTCACTTTCAACTTATGAGATAATGGAATCCTGAACCAAGGCAGTAGCAGTGAGGATTGAAAGATGCATAAACAGCTGAAGATCTTGAAAATGAATTTCATATACATTTGAAATTCATCTGACTGTTAATTCATAAAGGGTAGAGACTGTGTCAAATTTCCCTTACAGATTTCTTCCACTATAATTAATATGAAGTGCTTTGCATCTTGATCACTCAGGAAAATTCTTTCTTTAAATGGAATCTCGTTTTAGTTTCCCCTAACTCTTGGAGCAAAATTAGAAGTTAAAAAGGTTAACTGCTAGACAAAGCAGTTTTTACTTTGTATCCATTATCTTACAAAATATAAGGCTTGCCATTAATCATTACTCTCCATAAAAATGCTCAAATTTAACTAATCTATACCTTTGATGATTGTGTAGCCTTTAACACTCATCCAACCCACGACCCATGGACCACATGCAGCCCAGGACAGCTTTGAATGCAGTCCAGTACAAATTCCTAAACTTTCTTAAACCATTATGAGAGTTTTTCATAATTTTTTTAGCTCATCAGCTATTCGTAGTGTTAGTATATTTTATGTGTGGCCCAAGACAATTCTTTCAATGTAGCCCAGGGAAGTCAAAAGATTGGACACCCCTGCTTTAACATACAAGTTTAAAGAACTATTACTGACTGATTTGAAGTCTAGATAAAGTGGGAGAGGAGCATATGAGCTATCTGTTGCACAGTAATGCTGTGTAACCATCATAAAACTCAGTGGGGCACACAACATCAGCATGGATGGCACACACTGGGTTGATCGGATAGGGAACTCAGCTGACCTGAGATAAACTCACTCAAATATCTCAAGGTCAGCAGGGCAAATAGGGTTACTGGATCTGCTCTGTGTCTCTCTCATCTTCCAGAAGGAGAGCCCAGAAAAGTTTTCACAGAGGTAAGAGGGGTGCAAGAGAGACAGCAAGCTCAATTTTATGTGCACTTTTCAATCTTCTGATTGCATCACGTTTGCTAACATCCCAATGCAAGCCTCCAGTCAGAGCCTAGAATCAGAACTAGAGGTGGGGAATTGCAAAGCTATCCATGAAAAGGCATGAATACAATGAGGAACCCAAAACTGAGACTTCTGCTAAGTGTTGTTGCCATGTGTAAACATTTTATTTCTTACTCAGGAGACAGACCCTGTAGGTGGGTACATTGACAGGGCCAGGGAAGCTGCAGGGTAGTTCAATTCATGATTTTGGAGAGAATAACCTGTGACTTCACACATGTATAGAAGTCAACAAATTGGGATCGGAAGAGGTTGAAACTGTCATTGATTCCAGGAAGAGTGCAAACCTACAGCTTCCCCATCTTATTTGAAGACCTGAGTCTAGAATTAAAAATAGATGAGACATTGCTAAGTAAAAAGGTTTTAAGCCCAGAAAGTTCCTACCTTAATTTTAATTTGGATATATATTCTGATTTCTATGCGTAATTTGGTTTTATGCTTTGTATTTATTCTTAAACTTACCAGTGCAGTTTTGTTTAAATCATCCAATTTGCTCTGGTTACTTTAAGGGAACGGTATTTGTTCACATTTAGATGGGATAAAGTGTGGTGGTGGCAGCATATACTCAACTAGCAATCTAGGGACACATAACACAATTGGAGTAGTTAAGAGTGACTTAGGGGAGAGTTCTGAATGCAACATGTTTGCCAGTAAGAGTGTTCTCCTCTCAATTACTATTGGGTTTTCTAAAAAATAATTAGTTCCTTTACTTAAACATTTTTGTAGTTTGTAACCAAAGAAAGTAATTATGAGAGCAATTATTCATAGAAAAGATAAGTGAATAGACTGGGTTGAAGAAAACATGATTCCATTTTGCCATGAAGCCATACATTAAACTTTTCCCACTGTGGAATGAAATTATATTTTTGATGATGACAATATTTTTGTAAGATAAATCTGGTATCTTTTGAAGGATATATTATTCAAATAGAACAGAGTTAGAAAGATGAAGATTTTATAGCAATTCAGGAAGAAGATAGGTATCTGAACCAATGCGGTTGTAGTGGAACAGGAAAAGATAGATATGGTAGACACTGCAAAAACAGAATCAATGAAAGTTAATAGACTCATAGTTCACACTCAAAGCTGAATCTGCAAATTGTAATTGTGAAATTGTTGAAAGTCCTCAAGGACTTTCAATAATAATTATAACTATTGAAGTGCAAGAAGTTTTAAAAGGAACAAAAATGTTTCCTAATACTGGATCATGAGCTGATTTTCTGTTCTACCAAAATCTTCACTGAGTGCATTTAGTAAAACTTAATTCATTTCCAATATTTAATTCTTTATCAATAAAAAAGAAAAGTTTTAATTAGGTAATACAATCACCATAATAATTATAATGTTAGAAATACATAGCACCCCAACACTTTATATTATTTTATACATTCAAAATAATACTGTCTTCTGCTAGACCATGCCATACAGGACCATTATCTTTCAACATAATAGATAAAGACAAAGGCATAAATGTTTTGACAATGTATTATGTGTTGAAGACTTATATTCTAATGAAAGGCTTGATATGATAATTGCAAATCATACAATCCAACCATTGTTCCAAGGGAGAATTTAGCACTTAACTTCATTTTTATCTGAATTTGAGCTTGGACTTTCCTGAACATGAAATAGAGGATCTCTTTTTCTCGGATATGGGGAAAGCTTTGTAGAATGAATGTAAGATCTTAAGAAACTGTAAGTAGCATTTGTAGCCAAAGTCCTAAAAAAGGAATGCAATTGTTTGTTCATGCCTAGCCTTTGTTCTTTCTGTCACAATTGCCAGAAATAATCATGCTCACAATAAAATATAATTGGATAATTATGTTTTGCAGATTTATAAAACCCCCACCAGTTTGTCTCAAAGATCAATGTGGTCCACAAAATATAAATTTCAGGTCGTCATTTAAAATGTTAAGCTGCTAATTTTCTTTAGTGAGTAGAATAATCAGTTATACTGGATGCCAGATAGAAGTCTTCACTCTCTATAAACCACATCAAGAGATCACAGGATGCAAAAGGCTTTCTCCTGGGAGCATGCCCTGGAACCTAAAGGTGAAGACTGCAAGTATTTTTTCTGAGGAACATGTTTGAGAGCCAAAGCTCTTTTTTTAATCCCAAAGCCCTTTCCAAGTTCTGAGACACAAAATGGAAAAAGAAAACCACAGAAGGGAAAAAATTATTACCCTTGTATGTTTTCATTTGTTTTTACAATCTCTGTATTTTTTTTCTGGTTTGGTTATCACATCAAAAACACTTCAAGGGGAAAATAATATCTGTAAATAAAATTTTTCTAAGAAATTTGTAATGTAAACGGCAAAGAACAGTTGTCAATACCAGTACCCAGATGTAAATGCTCTGCTCCCAATTACTTCTTACACTTAATCAGGTTGTCCTGAGGCAAGACAGAAAGAAAAGAGAGGCTATACAGGGTTTTGTTCAGATGTTTTGCATTGGAACAAGAAGAGGCAGTTTCCTGCATAAATAAATTCATTCATCAATAGCAATAAAACAGCAAGAACATGCGAGGCACTACATTGGGTGCTGGAGAATTATGGCCGGCCTAATTCTCTAGGCCACCATAATTAACTAGGGCCACCATAACAAAGTACTATAGATTGGCCGAGTTAAACAGAAATTTATATTCTGACCGTCCTGAAGGATAAAAGTCCAAGGTGAAGGTGCTGGCAAGGATGGTTTCCTCTCAGGGTCCTCAGGCAAGGATCTGTTCCAGGTCTCTGTCCCTGGCTTGCAGATGGCCGCCCTCTTGCTGCCTTTTCCATACCCACCCCTCTGTGCATGTATATGCCTGATGTCTTTTTGTTGATTCAATTTCCTCTTCTTATAAAGACACCAGTCAGATTAGATTAGGGCCTACCCTAATAGCTTCATTTTAGTTTAATCATTTCTTTAAAGGCCCTATCACCAATCTAGTCACATTCGAATGTAGTTGGGGTTAGGACTTCAAAATACAAATGTAGGGGAGACCTATTTCAGCCCATATCAAGAGGCAAAAATACAGAAGTCCCATCTCTACCCTCAAAGTCACAGAGAGAGGGACTTCAATTGCTTATTCTGAATAAGAAATTAGGATAAAGATACTCTGATCACACACACACACACACACACACACACACACACACACAATCGATTACTACTCAGCCATAAAAAGGAATGAATTAACAGCATTTGCAATGACCTGTATAAGATTAGAGACTATTATTCTAAGTGAAGTAACTCTGGAATGGAAAACCAAACATCATATGTTCTCACTGATATGTGGTAGCTAAGCTATCAGGATGCAAAGGCATAAGAATGATACAATGGACTTTGAAGACTTGGGGGAAAGAGTGGGACGAGGCAAGGGATAAAAGACTACAAATATGGTGCAGTGTATACTACTTGGGTGATGCGTGCACCAGGTTCTCACAAATCTCCACTAAATAACTTACTCATGTGACCAAATACCACCTGTACCCGAATAACTCACGGAAAAATAAAATTTTAAAAAAGAATTAATTGGGAAAGTAGATGTAAAATGCTTATATAAGTTTGCAGCATATAATACAATTAAAAAATTAGACAATTACATTCTGACTAAAAATTTAAATACTTTTAATTAGGACTATACCAGTAAGGAGCTCATGTTCTCACCAGAAATGACAAGCATAAGAATGTTTGTTAAATAAAAATAAGTTTAAGTTAAATAAAATCACTCTGAGGACAACAATCTGTTTTAATTATACTTTCTTTTTCTCTTACCATCAGCTCCAAAGTCTGTTGCCTGGTGATTGGATAGAAGCTGGAATGTACTGGCAGATCTATTGTGGCAAGAATGTGCAAAATCCCTCTACATGGCATTTTGCACAAGATTTGATAAGAAAATATGGGGAATTGCTCACTGGGGATGCTATTTTTTTTTTTTTCGCCTGTTCCATGCAAGCTCCATTTAGAAGCCTCTAAGAACTCTAAGACTGGGGTCCAAAGCAAATAACTATAGCACACAACAATCCACCCCTCAAAACATATCTTTTCCTCTAATTTTTTTGTTGTTGTTTACGATGTTTCACATAAGATGATCACACCACATCAATTATGATGAAAACCTTTGTTTGGGGGGTCTTGGAGGAATTCCTCAGAAGATCAATCTTTTAAGTAAAAATAAAGAAATATGTACATATAAATATGCCAGTTTCAGATATTAATGTCATTGAAATAATGGCCATTGATTTATTTATATAGACCCTGTTACATTATTTAGTGTTATCTTGGTGCTTTTATTCAAACACATTCTTTGGTTCTCTAACTATTAATGATTCTAGAAGTTATATGATCCATTCTATCCCCTAGCTTCACATTATCTTGTTATAACCTTCAGCAACTAATTTCCACTTTTGCAATCATTTGACTCCCATCCCGACCAGCAGAGAAATGTGGGAAAGAGTAAGAGGATGCTGTGTTCCGGGGAATGCTAATTTCCTGGCTTGGTTTTGCCACCTGCTACCTATATGTAACCTTTCTGAGGCTCAGTTGTCATTTGTGTAATTGGGTATAATAACGCTTCACAGAGTTATAAGGCTAAAAGATACAGTACTTTGGAAATTGCTTTGTAAAGTTCTGTGAGAGCAAAAGGCAAGAAATTATTAAGGCTCTTAATGTCAATGCCAGTCTAATGACTATGTCTGTTACTTCATTTTTGGTGATATTGTCTTAATATTGAAAGTCAATTATTAAATTAATGTAAGGAATAAACTTTATAAAATGAAGATATGGATTTCATATTCAGTGAAGTTTAAAAATTGCCATTGCTTACTCCCTACCCCTGAATATGCTCTAGTCAAAACTGTAAATGATTTTTTTTTTACTCTCTGTTAGGAAGAATCATCATTAGAAATAATCATCTTTAGGAAGAATGATTTTTCCTAAAAGAAACCAAAGTTTATTTTTGTTCAGGGATAGGGTGGTATCTGCACATATGCAAACAAATGCTATATTTCTTTGTGATCCAAAGGATTTACACTCTAATGGTCAGTAGGGCAGATGTTTCAAGTTTGGGTGAAGGGTTCATCCACCTAGTGTATAGTGAGCTTTAGGACACGGGTGAAATGTATTTCATCTCCCTGTACACATTAAAGTGGACACTCACAATGTATATCAAGGTGCTATAGAGAACTGCTGTTGCCTCTTGCTTGTTTCCTGTTTCTTTTCTATGATGTATTAAACAGGAAAGCTAAATGCTGCAGCTATTGATAATTATGTTTGACTGTGGTAGCATTCCCTGATGCTAGCTGGTAGCTAACCTGGTGCTCTGCCAAATGTGTCATCTTATTATCTATGCATCAGGATCAAGGTCAGCAGCATATTGCAGATGACCTCTTCTATGGGCTAATGTTTATCAACTGACTTTGGAAACCATAACCAAGCTGTCCTTCATTAAGTGTTCTATCCTTAAGAAGTGCAGCACAAAATGGGTTGAACAGAACTAGATCTCTTACATAACCGCTTGTTTTCATTGAAGGTTGGCAACAGGTCAAAAAAGGCATCTGACAAGTTCGCATGCAGTTCAGCTTGTTTACTAACAGTAAGATACCAGGTATATGATGTTATCCAATGAAACCATCCCCTAAAAGAGATACTTGTACAAACTTAGGTTTAGCATAAAATTCCAAATAATCTTCCTATTAAAATCTTTGAATATTTGAATAATGTGATTAATATGAATATTCACGACAAAATAGAATATTGGACTTACATGTTTCAGTAATCCAATCACTTGGTAATTTGTCATATTTTTCTGATGTAAATTTGCTTATCTGAGGATAAAAATCTATAGTAGAATACAAAGCGGCATGCCCAGTTTGTTGCTGTACAATAAATGGACTACTGTGAGTACACTGAGTTAAGCTGAAGAACAGGAGCCCAGCCAGGGAGAAACACCAGGCGCCTAGCTAGGAAGAAACACCAGGCAGCTGCCTGAAATCAACTCTCCTTGCCATTGAGGGCTGTGCACAGTAGTCTAGGCCTCAGCTCCTAACAGATTAAGATCAGGTATTTATTTAAGAATCTCTTACGGGCATGTACACTTCCTCATAAGCTCTCACTTTTCCAGGCACCACATTTGGGTCCTTGTATCATGTAGATATTTAGGAAGTCATTGCTTTTGTGGGTGGCAAATCATAGAAAACATGCTGTCATAAATAAAATAGAAATTATCCAATGGTACATGAATCTCAAATATTAACTTAAATAATGCTACTTACAAAGACCATAGTAAAAATAATGCTAATCACACTTCTTGATATTTACCAAACTTTATAGTGTATGATAAACTCAAATTCTTTATTTCAGGTGTGAAACAAAGGAAATGCTAGCTTAGAAAATAAACTGCTATTTTCATGAACTGGAATTTCCAAAATTCTTTCAATTTGTTACTAATACTAAAAGTGTTCCTATAAATAGGCAATTAATATGTATTCATTTATGTATTACCTTTTAAATTCATTTTATTTTGAGACCGGGTCACACTCTGTTACCTAGGCTGAAGTGCCATGGCGTGGTCAAACCACCTCCATCCCTCAGCCTGAAGCGATCCTCCTGACTCAGTCTCCCAAGTAGCTGAGACTACAGGAACATGCAGCAATGCCTGGCTTTTTCTTTCAATTTGTTTTTTGTCCCTACAAAAAATTAGGGCCTTGCTATATTGCCCATGATAGTCTTGAACTCCTGGGCTCAAGCAATCCTCCTGCCTCAGCCTCTCAAAGTGGTAGGATTACAGGCATGAGCCACCACACTTGGCCAATATTTATGACTGTTTGATAGTTAAGAGCTTTTTCCACAGGTATTTTCCCTCATATATTTGTGTATAAGAGGATGTGAATGTGATAATAATTTAAAATATAAACTATAGCCAATATATACCGAACACTGAACATGTCTTACATGCCATGCATTATTCTAATGACTTTATTATATTAATTTAAATATATTACATATTTAATTTAAATTTCTATGAGTCAGCTAAATTATGGGCAAAATAAACTGCTTAGATAACCTCTTTCCTGTCTCCTTTATCTAATATTCTATTATTCTAAACACATTTATATTGAACTATGTATACATATATGTATATGTTCATGCTCGCACATCAGGTTAAATTAACTATTGTCTTAGTTATAGTCTTCATGTATTTAAAATTTATGAAAGTTCATGCTTAAAAGTGCTATGTGCCAAAATTTGCAGTAGTTTCTTTAGAGAAATATAATGAATATCTTTCTTAAAAGAGGATTATAATCTAGATAGGAAGATAAAACACAAACACTCCTATAATTAATCATTTAAAAGAGTAAGTATGTTGTCATAACCTCAAAAGTATCACTACTGTTAAGAGTCATGCGAGGATACTGAGTAAAAATGGCCATTGATCTGTAATACGTTTATATCTCATCAATAGAAAACTATATTAGTTGGGTTTTTTTTTTTTAACATATTGCTCCCTTTACCTGACTTGCTATCAGGATCCGTCTCTATTTTCCAAGTTGAATTTAGGGTTTGGCTTTGATATTTGCAAGCAGCATGTTGACAATTTCAATATTATATCAATGACCCTTTGCAGTTCTTGACTTCTTTGATTTCACTGGTCATTTTTACGTCTTTATTCCTGTATCTGTAGAATTACATTCAGGATCTTGTTATCCAATAATATTATGCTAGTTTCAAGATCTTAAATTTGTTGTAAATGTCTCATATTACATTTTCTACAACCACATCTTCCATAAGCTCTTACCCACTCAACTCTTAAAATATGCGACACTTCACCTATACAAATATATCTCCATTTTATATGTCCTCCTATATTACATTTCCATTTTCCAGCAGCACACTGGATATTTCTACTTAGATGATCTGTGGCCCTTTCATATGTCCAAAAGAGAAATTCATTCTCTTCCCTCTGAAAAAGGAGATTCATTTCAAAATTAATATTCTGAAAAATCTCTTGCAATTTTCATACTCAAAAACAATTGCTGGTTTACCATTTCCATCATAATAACTCTTGCATCTTTACCATCTTCTAAATTTCAACACCATTATCTGAGTTCAATATCACTTTATCTGACTTATTGCATTAACATTCTAATTGGTCTCTAGTCTGTCCCTCTGCAATCTATTCGTCACTTCGTTGCCAGTTTAATCTTCTTAATATAGTTTTCCACTGCAGAATACCTTCCGTGACCTTCTACTCTAGCCAAACTGATTTATTCACTGTATCTTCATCATACCACGCTCTTTGTCTATATGTATGTCATTAGTTACATCATTTCACTCTCCTGAAATGTCCTTTCCTTTCCTCTCTGTTCACCTATTTGCATTTTACTTGTCTTTTAGTTCCTAGCTGAGGTCTGTTTCCTCCAGATTTCCATAGTCTCAGCAAACTTCCAAAACGTTCTTTTATTTAATTAATGTATTATTTGTGGTGTTATCAGGTAAGTTTTACACCCATTAGGGCAGAGCAGTTGAGGGTTCTGACTTCCGTTGAGCATCACTTAGTGAATGTTATAGCTCTAAATCAAACAAAGAGCATTTCCTTTTCATTATTCATGTTCAATGAATTGATGTGGTGCTCAGATAGGCATTATAATCTCTTATGAAATAAATTTTTTCTTTCCAAAATTTGTATGTTGAAGTGTTAACCATCAATATCTGAGGATGTGACTGTATTTGGAAAAACAGTCTTTAAACAGGTAATTAAGGTAAAATGAGGCCATATGGTTATTCCTCAATCCACTCTGACTGGTGTCCTTATGAGAAGAGGAGTTTAGCACATAGACAACAAACACATGGTCTGATAAGCGAGAACGTGAGGTCAGAATGAGACAAGGTGGCCATTTACAAGACAAGGAGAGAGACCTCAGGAGAAACCAAACCTGCTGATACTTTGCTTTTGGACTTCTAGCCTCCAGAACTTGAGGAAATACATTTCTGCTGTTTAAGCCATGTAGTCTGTAGTATTTATTATGGTACCCCTAGGAAATTAATACACCTTGAATAATTCTTTATATTGGATATTTATTTCAGGCTCTATACATTTTTCATAGAAATAAAGGTCAACATGATAACACATTCAACCAAATACTAAAGGTAAGTAAACAGTATCAAATTTGGAGGACACACATCATGCCTTTTTTTTGAGACAAAGTCTCACTGTTGTCCCCCAGGCTGGAGTGCAATGGCGCCATCTTGGCTCACTGCAACTTCCGCCTCCCAGGTTCAAGTGATTCTCCTGCCTCAGCCTCCCGAGTAGCTGGGATTACAGGCGCCTGCCACCATGCCCTGCTGATTTTTGTATTTTTAGTAGAGACGGGGTTTCACCATGTTGGCCAGACTGGTCTCAAACTCCTGACTTCAGGTGACCCACCCACCTCGGCCTCCCAAAGTGTTGGGATTACAAGCCTGAGCCACCGCACCCAGCCACATCATGCTTTTTTAAACAATGTCTAAATGACTCAAAAAAGCTAAACCTTGCATCCAAAGAAGACTCTAAACATCAGCCTCTAAACTGAAATTAAAATGTATTTACTAATTTAAATTCACATCATTAAATTTTTCTTGTTGGTATTATAATCAATATCAAGCTTCCCCTTAGAAGCAATAATTAAGTTACCTCAATCTTTTATATTCCTTTGAATTTAAATGCTCCTAAACTGCCACAAATGCTTAGCAATAATGTGATACTGCTTTCCTGGGCTTATTCAAAATCTAGACTAGACAGATTAGAAATTGTT